CAAAGAAGCAGAAGAAGAAACAGAAAACAATGAAGGTATGTAGTCATATAATGATACTCAGGGAACTTTACAACCTGGTTTTGTTATTTCCTAACTTGATTTTATTTTGTCCTGTGAAATGGGAGAACTTGAAATTCCACTTGAAGATTGTTTTAAGATATTTTTAATTATTCTTTGACTTCAGAATAATTTTTATTACACTTTATTATCATAAAATATGATCATAGTCTTGTAGACCTCACTTTGTTCTGTTTGTGCAGATTTTAATATGTGGTGCTGGCTCTAAAAAGGCTACAGCTGGAAGTATAAGGAAAATAGATGGAAATAGGCAGATAGGGAGAATGCAAGGAATTAATCAGAAAGACCAGCAGGGGCCTTAGTGCATTAACAGCTCAGTTTGATGTTGCTTTTGGCTTTGTTGCAGGAGTTGGTATAGTGTGTTGTCTGTTAATCTCTAATTTGGGGTGGGGAGTGAAAAGACTAACACTGTATTGGCATCGTACTGTGACTGTAGCTGTTGGAATGAACATATCCATTCTACCTTTCCCTTCAACTGTAAACAACAATCTGTTGTATTCCAGCATCTGAGTCTGTGCATGATATGACAGATTCTGTGCCAACAGCAGCAGGTGAAATTCACCAGCTTCAAGATGTTTCAGGCTTGAGTGGCAGGAGTGCCATAGTGAGCACACTTTTCTGTCTGCTTTCCTCAAGTTTTATTCTTTTCAAGCATTACCTCTTCTCTACTTAGTCCTCAGTCCTACCTTTGTCCCAGTGAGCTGTCTGTACCAGATCCTGCCTCTTCCATCCTTTCCCAGGATCGTCTTCTGTCTTTCTCCAGCCTAACCCCTCTAGTCTCCTATTCTCTGTTCACCTTCTCTGCCCTCTCCCACTCTATTATTCTCTCTTGTCCTCAGGAAACTTCCCTGAGATTTCCAAGCAACTAGCTTCACATTGGTTGGTCCAGTTCATAGTCCAAGTCAGTATTGGCTTGTTTCCATGCTGGCCATAAGGCTCGGGTTAATTCTTTTCTACTCTGCGTGAGATCAGAAAGGCTGTTCTCAATGCATAGGTGGCGTACAGGCACCGTGGCTCTGTTCCTTCAGTTTGGGAACGAAGCCTGCTGCAGCCTGGACAGTAGGTGCCACTCTTGCACAGCAGGAGCTGAAATCTTGTGCAGAGAGATCCTAACCTCCATCCTCTGCCAGGTGTTATGGAGTACAGGGAATCGTTGTGGGTTTTGTTTTCTTTTCCTGAAGCTTGATTAACCAAGATTTTCAAGGTAGCCAAGACTCTGCGCTAGAGGTGAAAGAGTTGCATTAATGTAGCATTAGGGCAAATTTATTGTCCTGCTTTTGGGAGCTTTGCTGGTTTGCTTCAGGCAGGGGGTTGATATTTTGCTGAAATGTTTTTATTGAGTCTAATCTGGTAAGTGGAAAAGGCTGCCGGTGTTTCTAATGTTAGGGAAGAAAAATACAGTGCATCTATCCAGTTTCAGTCAGTGCAGTTATTTTGGCTCAAGTGTCCTGATGCAGGTGTCTGGCACAGAAAACTTTAGTCTGAATAATTAAGCTTTTGTGAAGTTACAAGACAAGCCACTATCTGTGACATGAGACATGGTAGTCAGAATGGGCTGAGCTTTGCGTATAATTAAATTCCCCCCTCCTGTAGTTTTAGAGGCTGTTTTATTGGTGTTTCTTCCCTTCACCACAGGTGTCCTCATCTTTCAAAACAGGAGAACTAAGGTTTTATCTGTTACAATCTCACTGAAAACACACAGTAAAATTAAGAGGGTCCATGGCTTTCTCTTCTCCCCACTCACTCATGTTTGAGGTAAATGAGTATAATACTATAAACATGGTCACTAATGAACTGAAAGTATTTAACTTGCATTTCCTCTGTTTGGACAGAGTTACGAGGACTCTCTTGATCAGAGTGGTGATGAAGAAACAGTTGAACAAAAGGAGGTGCCCAGCATGGACAAGGACAGTGGCTCAGCAGAGGAGTTGGTAAAAGATGGCCAGGGATGTGCTATGTCAGAGGACACAAGCACTACAGATGATGGCAACCAAGAGAATGAAACAAAAAGTGAAGTAAAAAGGTGCGTTGGGTCGAAATATTGCAGTCACCGTGTCATTTTGTGTCATGTTTGATACTGTCAAACAAGTCCAAATTTACAAATGTGAACTGTGGAGGCTACTCTAAAGCAGGTTTGAATAAATATGATACTAAACAAAGAGTGTAGGACCTTCTTTGGAACGTCCTTTGCGTTTGACTGCAAATCACTGCCATATCACTTACCAATTGCTGATTCAACGTACTGAGATCAACAATTGATTGTATAAAGTAAATAATTCTTTTTCTGGATGCACGTGCATTGTGTTTTGTGAAGGAAGAACAGGGGAAAGCAGCAGGGAAACTGACAACTGAAAAGCATCAGAAGCCTGTGAGAACTGAATGTTCCTGTGCACTGATCTTGGTTTCTTTTTGTCTATTAGCAGCACTAAGCCTAAAGGGAAGAAAGTCAAGGATGCAAAAAAGTGTTCTAAGGCATCTTCAGGGAACCCAGCAACGGTATGTCAAATTACTTACACTATTTAAAATAGAACAATAGAATTGTTAAGGTTGGAAGGGACCTTAAAGATCATCAAGTTCCAACCCCTCTACCATGGGCAGGAGCACCTTCCACTAAGACCAGGTTGCTCAAAGCCCCATCCAGCCTGGCCTTGGACAATTCTACAGGATGGGGAATCCACAGCTTCTTTGGGCAACCTGTTCCAGTGCCTCACCACCCTCAGAGTAAAGAATTTTTTTCTAATACCTAATCTAAACCTACTCTCTTTCAGTTTAAAACCACTACCCCTTGTTCTGTCACACTCTGCACATTTAAAAAGTCCCTCTCCCTCCCCTTTATAAGCCCCCTTAAGGCACTAGAAGGCTGCAGTGAGGTCTCCCTGGAGCCTTCTCTTCTGCAGGCTGAACAACCCAGCTCTCTCGGTCTGTCTTCATAGGAAAGGTAAAATATGGTTGTCATATTACTACAAACAATGTTGGTTGTTTTGATCGCCTCTAGTCCACAGATTCTATTCCTGTGTTTTTATTAGAAGCTAGGAGACTGGAGCTCTTGTCCCTGCAGAGAAAAGCAGGACTAAGCTTCAGTTCTAAGAGATTTGCTAAAGTTACTAAAGTTCTGTATCCAGGGCAGTTCAAATAAATTAAACAACTGAGGACAAAGCTGTTCTCACCAGGTAAGTGACAGGCAGTAACATTTGCATCTTTCCCAGTATTGATGCTTCCCAGAGACAGCAAAATTCTGTAGTAACTACAGCAAGGACATACTAAATTCACTACATCTCAGAGCCCAAAGAATTATATGTATAGTCAGGTGAGGTCAAAAGTATTCTTTACCTTGAATTAGATTGGCAAGGCTTCCATTGTTGTTCTTGGTTTTACTTAGACTTCTTTGAAGTATCAAGAAGTTATATTTGCATTTTTTTAAAAAAATACATATATTTATTTGTTAATCAGTATTGGTGATAGAAACAAAGAGCTTATTCACATTTCATAGTCTAAGAGAAACTGCGTATGACAGATTGGTGTACTACACTTATTCAGTATGAATGTGAAGCATTCTGAGTTTTTTTATCATTGCAGAATGAAGTTTCCATCATCTGTGTAACCTGCAACTGTACATTTCCATCCCGAAATAAATTGTTTGAACACCTAAAAGCCACAAACCATGCAAGAGCAACATCCACATCAGTTGCAAATGAAGCTGTAAACACCAGAAACAAAAAAGAGAAACGCAAAAACAGATAGGACTTTGCTACACTGACAGTCTTCAGCATTCTAAATTAAAACTCTCCCAAAACTGAAACATGCACATTGCCTATGTCTGGATATTAACAAAGAAAGCAGGTACCAATTTGGGAAAAAATGAAGATGCAACAAAAGGAATACCATCTTGTGAAAGAACCTGTTTTCTTTTGGCTTCATCAGCCTTTTTTAATTACAGAGTGGTTTGGTGGCACGGCCCAGGCAGGGGCTCCTTCCAGTGAGTCACCTGGTCTAAAGCCCCTTAACCTCGCAGCGCCTTTCACTCTGAGGATGGGGATAGTAACTCAAAGCTACTCACTTTGTATTCCTGTAGGAACCTGCATGGATTAAGTACCAGCAGATGGGAAATAATAAATTAATTTAACTCTTGTGTGGCTGTTTTTCTTTTGAGAGGGCTTATCTCAGGGTGCATGTAGCCCGTAGCAGGGCCTGTAGTTCTCTGATCCTCTATCAAAGATGAAATGTAACCAAGACATGGAGAAACCCAGGCTTTTTTTCTGCCATCCTTAAATTACTTATTACATTAAGCAGCAGACAGAAGGGAAAGAGTAAGATGACAAAGCTGTTTAATCAGTTTTGACAATTGCTATTTGTTTTGTACGTCTACCTCCATGCCAGGCATTGGAAAAAAGGTCTAGTTGGAAGAGTCTGATTGGAATAAGTGAGGGAGAAAAAAATGAGTGGCATTAATAAATAAATTTGTTCTGATTTCTAATGAAAAAACATGGCACTTGTGTTTGCTTAATCTACCTGAATTTGAGTAGCACTTGAAAAAATGGTGGGATAACAAACATCTGATTTTGGAGTGGAATCGGATTGTACACAGGAGTTGCCAACACAGTTGAAGAAGGTAGTGCTCCCCACAAGGGCTGTAGGATATTGTTTAGGAAACCTGTAGAAGGAGATTCCCAGAGGCACTGATACTGTGTTACTTAAGTTCCTCTAAAGGTTCAGTTTATCACAAAAAGCAGACTCCTCAAGAATACTCTTCCCCCCAAGTTGACATGGTACTTTATTGGGTCAAGGAATTATTCAAATGTTAAAATTTGAATTAAAGTGAAACTATAAATGCCTGGTTCTTGCTGACTATCCACAACACCTGTTTGTTTTTTTAATTGGAAACTGAAGTAAGCAGTAAACTAAAACATTAAAAACAGTGACTATGTAAGAAAGAAACAACATTTTATTTCACCAGCCAGAGTTTGCACCTTTGCTAAATGATTAATGGGTGTGCTGTGCAATCCCAAAAGCAGCAGGAGGAACAGAAAAGCATATTTTGGAGAAGGTGATGACTGGATTCTAATCCCCATGATAAAAATAATTTCTGTAATTAGAAACATTTCGGCTTTGTGCAAACTTTTAGTAGTGCTCTAATTACAGCGTATCCTTGTAGTCAGGGTACATAGTTTTAACTCTGAAACTTCCAGTTACCTTTTGCTTAGGGTGATTCTCAGCCAGAGATTGTGCTTATGTAAGTGAAATCTAACAGACTGAGACTGCTGGAGACTGGAGTCACTGGAGGGACTCTTTCTGTCACTCTAAAATTACCAATTTTGATGTGACTTTCACAGATGAAAGAAGCATATATGTCTGTGTCTTCATCTGACACTCAGTTAATCCAGTCAGGATTTTTGGATAAAGCCAAAATAGGTGTGTAGCTAATATAAACCTCCACTGTAGAACTGAACTGTGCGTTTACAAAACAGATTAGAGCATATTCTTTATTAAACACTGGATCTGTCAGAATGCTCTTGTGATACTGAACAAGTATTTAATTGTTAGACTATGATTTTCTTTTCCATTGTAGATTAGTTCCCAGTCTGGGTCACAAGTATCGGGGGTTGTGTGTGCATCCTACCAAGGAAACAAATCAAGTCTATTTTGCAGCTGCTCTTTCCATGTGTCTCTGTAAAGCAGTACGGAATACTTCCACAGCAAAGTCGACATCCTTTTTAGTAATGCACATAGGAGGCTTAATTCTAAATGTCTGAGGAGAGAGAAAAAAAGAAAAAGAAATCCTAAAAATGGTATGGAAAGAATACAGTTTCAAGCAGCCCATCTAGGTCAGCACACCCATTCTGCCCTAAAAAACTGTGGAAAAATAATACAGGAGAACAGCATAGCAGGGACTGAAGTTTATGATAAGTGCACTCTGAAGTGGGGCTGAATTTTGGACTTGACTGCATTTAATTGCATCTGACTCATGACTCTCCTCTTGATAACCTGACTGCCTCCACAAAAGACCTGAGTAGAGTAGGTCATGTCTGCAGCTCTGTTACTGCAGACAGAACTAGCGTAAAATCTCAGGTGGGTTTGTTTTAAGAAAGAACAGAGACAGATGTGTTTTCCTAACTGGCAGCTTTGCTGTAGGGAAAAGTGGTATCTGCTGAGAGTGCCAGCCTCTTGCATTGTGTCAGCTGATTTGGTGGTTTATTATAGGCTTTTTTTAAAGGCTTTTAAGAGAATGCTTTATGAATGAATCACTAAATACCATCCTTTAGTTAGGGTGCTATAGCTGGAAGGCATGTTGATCAGGAAGGGATATATGTACAGCTAAACTTGGCAAGAACATAGGCTCTTAAATCCAAGTGTTTGATCTATGTTTCCAAGAGTATTTAACTTCCATAAGAATCTTAAACTTCCAGTTTAAATTTTTCTGTCAGCATATCACAGGACTTAATACAGCAGAAGTGGAATAATGGCCTTTTCCCACTCACAGCCCTTACTGAAGCAAACACAGACAGACAGCCCTCTCATCAGACAGAATCAGACTTTACTACACTGAGCTGCAGTGTATTACCCATGTTCTGCTCTTGACTTGGGGAAGAACTGATGAGGAGACAGATGCAGTGTCTAATTTATTTTAGCCACCCTCCACCTATCTCACAGGGAAGCTGCTTCCCCTGTGTCAGAGGGCTGCACTGACCCAACCAGCCCTGAGGTACAGCATCCTCAACTGGTTGGGCTGATGCCCATTCACATGCAATTCTCACTTCTGCATTGCACTGCTGAACTTGCCATCAGCAATTTATATTTTTTAAATTACAAATAGAATGTTACCAGCTCCCCAGACTGAAAGAACTAGCAAAACCAGCCTTATTTTGTACTGACAAGTCAGGTGATAACCTAAGCTATAGCAAAGACTTAGCGGGCCTGCATATTGCTGACTTTCTCTAATTTACATAGACTTTGGTACTGTAGTACCTTGATATTCTAGGGGAAGTTGTCCTTCTAAAGGAGAACTCCAAGGCTTTGAGCTAGTCCAGCATACTTGAAAAGATTCAAATAACTCCTTCCCAATTTAAAAATACACAACATTAAACAGAGATACTTCCTAAGAGTATACTTTTTCTAGTTTATTTACTAAACTGAAGCTAATTTAACTTGTGGGAATCTCAGATGTAGTTCATGAGGACAGAAAATAAGCTTTATTTATAACCAGAGGTTCAATACCTGACTGTAGAGCCCTCCTCTGCCGATCAGAACCCCCATGTCTTTACAGTCCTCCCAGATCTGATCAACTTCTTCAGCTGGAAGAGGGCAGCGACTGTCCTAAGGAAAGCGAATATTAAACTTCACTTAGATATTCTAAATTAGTTCTATGGACAAGATGTCTATTCAGGTCTCTTCAATAAATCCCACTCTCAACTCTAGCTGAAAATGTTAGCATAACTCATCTGCTTTGATGAGTTTATGCAATTAAGGTACATGTCAGTGTTTACTCAAAGCTTGTGAAATGGTGGAATGATGGAAGGTTCTGGCTCATTTTTAGCCAGAGCCATGTTTTCTCACTTCGCTGGCTGCTTTTTAACAGAAAATATTCCTATGATTTTGTCCTAGTTAGGACAGCTGAGTTCATCATGGTATGGGTGTAACCCAAAACTGTGTATTCTATAGCCTTCCATGCCATTTCCCAGAAACTGTTGTCAATAGACTATTAGCACCTCTGCCCATAAGAGCCTGACTCCTCAGGCTATAGACTAGGTGTTAAGAGGCCTGTGAGATAGGAGGATGCTCTTACCTTTTATGGAACTCCCTGAGGGAAAGAACTGACCATTCCTGCCTGAACTGGAGAATATATAAACCTGGAGTTTTCAGAACTTTTCAACCACTCGTGGGATCCAGAAGGAAGACTGCAGCTCATCGCTCTCAACCTCAGCTGGACTGCAATCACCGCTTCTGACCAGACTGCAACAGCTCTCCCACCAGCAGGTTTTTCCCCTCTCCCTTTACTTTGGACTCAAGCGGGGCCCAGGGAACAGCACTTTGCTCATGCCCCCAAGGTACTGGGTTATACATTTGGGTTTTGTGGGTTAAGACCAATTGTTTGTTTGTATGATTGTACTTACTGTATTATTTTAATAAATTGTTATTCTGATTTTATAATCTCTCCTTTGAGTTGGGTTCATTACCCCTGCTGGTTAACTCTTAAACCAGCACAGATTTCAACTGAAATAAAACGTGATAAAACTTCCAATAGCACTGTAAACTGAAAGGAATAAAGTAAGACACTAACCTTATCTGTCACCATTTCTACTCCAATCATAAGTCCCTTGCCACGAACATCTCCAACAATCTTGAATTTATCCCGTAGTTTAGCTAACTCCAGCAGCATGTATGTTCCCACATCCTCACTGTTCTTTTGTAGACCGTCTTCTTCAATAGCCTGGTTAAAATAATGTACCATGACAGTGTTGCAGGAAAAGCTTCCAATACATTCTGTTAATCCCATTGAGCTTGACAACTGTATTTATCTCACTTCATTGTAGACTATGTTCCTTCATTACTGCAGTGCTTACAGTTTCCTTCTCTTACAAGCCCCTGATGGCATCAGAATACAATTGAACATAGTATTTTGATGTTTCTGTGGCATTTCTCACATTTAACTTATTATTTATGTTTAATCCGGTAATTCTTGCTCACATGTACTCATAACTGGAAAATACCTGACCAGAAGGATTATTTTCAACATCTCACCGAAATATTTTAATTCTTTCTCAGTATCATGAGAAGAATATATTAGACAAGACCTATCTGTGTGTACTAGGCAGCCTTTTAGGGAACAACTTCAGTGTTTCAATTATATTCATCCACTCTTGCCTTTTAATCACAATCTTTTCTTTGTTCCTTACTTTGCCCTCATTAGTCAAAGTTCTGATGTGCAGGCACATGTTGGCAGCAACACAGAAACTATTTATGAACATAATATCTGCATTAAGAAAAATCACATAAACACTCCTCCCCTCCCAATATAATTGCAGAAGATAAAGTGGTTGTTTCTCCTTTTCTTCTTCTTTTTCTTTTCTTTCAACTCCATTTTATTCTTCCTGAGTTTGACAATCTGCATAGAATTATTTCAGAGACAGGCTCCAAGTTATTTCAGAGTCAAAAGAATCTAAAATACTGATTCTTTCTTGTTTGTGAACTGTTTTTTCAAAACGTTTTTAGTTATATGATCATCCTTCTTATAAAATAGCTTAACCCCCCAAAAAACACTCAGGAAAGTAACATGAGTAGGAAGTGTAACTGTAATCTGGAACTGTAATCAAGTGAAATTCAGGAATGAATGGTCTGTATATGATCAAGACAAATTAAACCCACTGACTGATTTTCTACTGGATAATAAATGAAATTTTTCTGTTGTCTTTTTCATGAGAGATTTTTTTTCCAGAAGGAATTCTGACCTTAAGTATTTTTAACTGTCTGACCATTAAGGTTTTTTAGGCATAAGGTAAAAACTGTTGAGTTGAAACAATTTTGTTAAGCATGTGTGCTAGAAAATAGATCTGCTTTAGCTGAGGATTTGTGTAGTCCTATGAAATAGTTAGCTAATGTGTTTGAGAAAGTACTTTCTTACATTTTTATTAACGAAGTGAAGAGCCTCAGGGAGATAAAGATGGTTCTGAAAACATAATTAGAGGGCTCCTATTCTTGCTAGAGATTTGAAAATTTTTGCAATTAAACTAATCAGAATTTTTACTATGCATAGAGCACATTGGCCATGTGTGCATAATACATGCCTATGTTTATGCACTTTATACAGTTATTTAAAAAACTGCCCACATAGAACTTCACACATGTAAACATTTTCTATTTTTTGATACAAATGGAATTGTGGTGTATATAAATTTATATAATATTCTCCCTACATCAAGAACTGCAGCTCCAACTACGCAGGCCAAAGGGCTTCCTCCAAATGTATTAAAGTGAAGGTTTTGAGCCAAGGAATCTGCAATCTCTAGAAGAAAAAAGGACAACACTGATTACTCTTTCAGTTCATAGAATCATAGAATCATAGAATGGTTTGAGTTGAAAGGGACCTGAAAGCCCCCTGCCCTGGGCAGTTACACCTTCCACTAGACCAGGTTGCTCAGAGCCCCATCCAGCCTGGCCTTCAACACTTCAGATGTGGCATCCACAGCTTCTCTGGGCAACCTGTTCTTGTGACTCACCACCCTCACAGTAAAGAATTTTTTCTAATATCTAGTTTAAACCTACTCTCTTTCAGTTTGAAGCCATTCCCCCTTCTCCTGTCATTACATGCTTTTGTAAAAAGTCCCTTCACAGCTTTCTTGTACCAGAAGGCTGCAATTAGGTCACGCCAAAGCCTTGTCTTCTCCAGGCTGAACAAACAATCTCCCAGCTTTTCCTCACAGGAGAGGTGCTCCAGCCCTCTGGTCATCTTGCTGGCTTCCTCTGCCTTGTTTGGTAACTGTACTCACCTGCTTTAATTTTTAAGTTACATTTGCTGAGTGGTTCAGCCCTGATTCTACTGGAGACAATGCAGTAAGATTTCCTGGAAGCAGTCTGTGCAAAATATGACTATTTCCAAAAACTATAGTGTCTAGCAAATGCCAAAACAAAACTTTTTTTAAAAAGTCACACCTCCAACATATGCTGTCATCTGAGATCTACAAACTTTCTTCACTAGATTCAGCCATCCATTTGTATGACTCAAGCAGCTGGCTAACATGCTGGCTAACATTGATTAGTAAAATGTTGAATTCTGTAAGGATTTCCAGGCTCTGTTACCAGCTCTGTACATGACTCATGAGGTCATTCCTCCTTCAGTTTTACAAATAACCCCATTTAAATACAGCTTTGCACTAATATAGCACAACACTTGGTAAAACAAATGAGTAATGAGAATCCAATTCATTCGTCAAAAGATAGATGAGACAAAGATTATTAATAAAACTCAGCTTTTTGAACTCACATCTCTCAGTAAATAACTATTGTGCAGTATATTTTGTAATTACTCTTTTTTAAATCGTAGCGGAACAGAAAACATACCTTTGGTTGTAACAACAGCTGCCATTGGGAAGCCATTACCAATTCCTTTTGCCAAAGTAACTATGTCAGGGACTACATCATGTGTTTGGAATCCCCAGAAATGGCTACCTGTCCGTCCAAATCCTGTCTGTACCTTTCAAAAGAAAAATTCAGAGAAAATCCCCATCACACTCTACAATACATACTGATTTGCATTAAACTGCAACTACATTTGGAGTCAACTTATTCAGATGGCTCTGCACAAAATACTATTTATTGTAATTGGGTTTTTCTTTCATGTGATAACACGTCATCATGTCTTAGGCCTGGTGAGATGCACAAATAAGATGCAGATTCCATGTCAAAATGGTGAGGAAATGCAGATGCTTGTGACATTTAAAAGCAACTGCAAGACTGCTGATTTCTGCCACTGCAATGCTTGAGGTATATATCACAGTCACTTCAAAGCATTTGATACTATTTCAAAATAGTTTTAGCTAAGGAAATTCTATTTCTACAATGTACTTGCAGAGGTACAGAAATCAACTCTCTTCTATATTTTGTTACATTAACAACACTCATAGGAGGAACGGATATTGTGACAAACCTCACATCAAAACTGACATTTACTACCTGCATATTTGTGCATATTTACTGCTCCCAAAAGGTAAGGATTGAAGTCTTGCTACAAACATTACCTTTGCCTAAAATCAGAACAAAGGCAGTAAAAATTGGCAGGCTCCTATACCTAGAAAAATGTACCATATTAAACTATGAAGTGCATAGCATTTAATTTGGATCTTTCTGTGACAACTTTCAGAGGTAGCCCAAATTCTAGAGCTCTTATGTAAAAAAACCCAACTCACTTCATCTGCGATACAAATGCCCCCTCTTTCCCGTATCAGTTGATAAGCTTCTTTTAAGAAATTTCTTGGGTACTGAACAGCTCCATTAACACCCTGGCAAGAGAAAAAGACAATGTCTCCAGGAACAAAAAAGGAAACAGGAATTCCACTTAAGAAAAAAACGTTGGAGCCCTCAGGTAATAGCAAGACTTGTCTCAAGCTTCTGGCTTCCGCAATGAAACTGCTTCAGAAAGCTTCTGCTCAGGTCATTCATTCCCATTCCACAGTGCTGTCTGCTGTTCCTTAGTTGTGCTGGTATATATGTTTGTGAGGCCACACCATGAACTGGGTCACTCTAAGGCCCAGTCAAGTAACACTAAACTGCCAAAACAAGGACTTTGAAAACCTAAACACAGCGAGACTCAGAAACTGTGTTCAATGACAAAGTTGAGCAGAGAATTCACATTCCTTCTTTGGTTAATTTGTTTAGAATATTGTTTCCTCAATTTCTTTTTACCTTGACAGTTTTCATTTGGATCAGAAATCCAATTCCATACTACACCTGAACTGTAAAGCAAAACCAGAGAACTGTTTCAATTTTCTTTGAGGTCACAATTCTCACACTTTTTTTTTCTTGCCTGAGATAAATTCTTCACTTTTCCTACTGAAGAATCACACTATTCTGAATCACCTATTCTGAACATAAGGTGAAACACTAAGAGAACAAATCCTGTGGCCATCACTTGCTGGAAAGCTGTTAAAAATATAGTGGACAACATGACTGGGAAGATGTGGAAGGTGTTTCAGTTAAAGTTTACAGAAACAGTAGAGAGAAAAGCAGTATGAAAATTGGAAGAAGGTATTAGAAATGAAACAATAGCATGCATCATACTCACTATTTAAATGGAGAAAAAATGTGTATGTTTAATCATGATTCTGTGTACAGCTCCATGAGCAAAATTCCAGCTCCACTGAAATCAGTGACAAAAGCTGAAATTTTAAGGCAGTGCATCCAATCTTTCAAACATTTCAGGGGTTTAAGGCGTTAAAAAATTATAATAAAAATCAGCAAAAGACTATGTTCATGATGTAGCTGAAGAATATATGATTTGAGTATTTCACATCATTCGTGCTATCACAACTGAGAAATGGCAAACTACCTACTTGAATTGGTTCAGCAATAAATCCAGCTACTGTCTTAGGCACTGAGGTGTTCAGAGTATCTTTGAACTGTTCAATGTACTGGTCTTTTGCATGACATACACCTGTTTACAGGGAAAACAGTTTAAAGGGAATTTATTTAATACGATACAAAACTAGCTTCAAAACGTGAAATTACACATCTAAGCGACAAGTATTTTCTGACTACATGGTAAGTATCACCTCTCAAATACACTGTAAAAGGCTAAACATTAAAGGAGAGTGTCCCTTCTTTTCTTTTAAACCATGTATACTCTCAGAAATGCCAGTTCCAAAACAGCAAAGCAAAGCTGACAGACAATAAGACTCATTATACAGGTCAGTATCACCTCCAGCAGCAGAAGGTATAAGCAGATATTTTCTCAGAGGTTAATACACATCATTATAAGACACAAAGTGTCCTTAGGTTAGTGCAGGTACAAGGATTCTGGAGAACACAGCTGCATATCAGTCTACACTGAAATAAAGAACAGAATAATTAGTATAAGCAATGCTCCCATTCACTAGGGAGGGTAGAACTAAAAAGAAAACATTCTCCTACATATGCATGTGAATTAAAATATTAAAGAATGCTTTCTGAAAAAGTGGATAAAAATTATTGTAATTGTTGTTAACAGCAGAGCAGTAGAGGAGCTTTCACATTGTGTTGTTTATGGGATGTTTTGTCCCATATAAGACTTTTGCCTATCACTGGCTTCAGGTTGTCCCTAGTATTTCCCTTATTCCAAAAGCTGGAAAGCTGTGAAAACTTCAGAAAACACCATCAACACTTCTGTTCTTCCAGATGTGTTAAACTGAGTTGCACAACTTCCAGAATTGATCACGACAAATACTGGAAACAAAGGCTGGGATTTCAAGAAGAAATCTGACAATGAGGCATCACCTGCCTCAAATTTTTCTCATTGAGAAGTAGGGTCCTAAGATTCTCTGCAATATTTTCTTTGGTTATCCTTGCAAATCCTAATCAGACATCTACTTTTCTTGAGAAGGTAACTAGAACCTATTTTCACAGCTCTCTAATATTCTCTGATCTAAAAGCCAAAAGCTTTTTGTCATTGACCAACCTTCAGGACAGCTGCATTTTCGAACTGTTTGCACTGGAGAATCTCTACAAAAGCTGCCTCCCCATGGACCACGAAAAACATCTGGCAACATTGTCTGTCAAGCATAAAAGAAATAGCTACAGCTTTGATGACACCTTTCTAAGAGGTCTTTTGATCTAATGACTAATGACAAAACAAAGAAGAGTTGGGAATAACTCCAAACTTCCCCCTCACAAATTCGTAGAAAAGGAACAGTTTTGGAACAAACAAGTTTATTCCAGCAACAGTCACTCAATTGATTTTTTTTCATTGTTTTGTTCTTTAACTTAGTCAGCCTAGTGGTTATCTAAGATTAATGCCAACATTTTAAGAGTTGCTGGCAGTATTTCGATAATCTTGAAGTACAAAAAAAATATGCAAAATAGAGGTAGGCAGGCAGACCTAGCACAGTGAACTCCAGCTTTTTAATCCTTGCTGCTGATGAAATACCACATGACTTGAGGCAACTCACTGAGACAGGTTGGGAAGCTGCTATAAATGAGCCTTCCTATAGTCAGTGCTGTGGCTGAGCTATCACCAGTACAGACTGGAGCTGCAGTGCCAGGTTACTCCCATCTGCTCAAGGGTAGGGAGATAAAGCATTGCCATTTAACCCCAAAGGATCTACTTAACAGATATGTCTCCTGTCTTGCTGAAATAGGGTTTCTTTTCATTACAAGGAAGGATCTGCTTCAGACAATCTGAAAGCAGCTTTGCACAAAACTGCCAAAACAAACTCGAGAAAAGGTGTTCTGAGGATTATTATTTTGCTCCTTACCTACACTTCCATTCAAGCACCAAGCATGAAACTGCAAATCATGACCCCTTATGTTATGGCTGTCCCAAATCCAAATTAGCCTAAGTAACTACACAGAGAAGAAATGGGGACTCTGGTCCCTGTTGAACTTACACAGCAGAAACAGCTACAGTGCAGTTTAGTCAGTGACCATAAAGCACTTGAGGGCAGAAAACATACTAATTGTTGAAATATTCAAATATACTGTTAGCTACCCAGATTATTATAAATAAATAAATAAACAAACAAATAAATAAATAAATCTATCTCACTGTTGTACAGCCAAAGCCATTGGCAACACCATGCTTATAGGGACCAAGAGATGTCAAACCCAGTGTGTAAGGGCTGGCTCCGTGGTAGGCTCCTCTGTTCAAACAAAGCAGATGAACATTATTCATTTCCAAGAAGAGTCTGAAGCAATATTAGTTCTGAGAAGGCATGTTTCTGAGCTACAAATTATGGGGGGAAATGTGCATTGTTGCACTCAAAACAAGAAGATTCCTACTGCCATTTTTTGCTGTGGTTTTCGAAGATCAATGATTGCCCAACTGCAGTGGTTTCCTGCAATTTCAAATGTTAAAATTGTGAGGTAATGTTTGCAAGGAGAAGAGAACAATGATTGGAACCAACAGCAATTCAGATAGTGTCTCAGCAAGTTCTGCTGTAGCACCTGAGCCCTGCAGAGCAAACATCTCTGTCCTTTTAATCTTGGAAACCACTGCTCTCTCCAACAGATGTTGCCAATCATTAAGCTGCATGGTGGTTTGCTGTTAGTTTTATACACAAATCAAAAGTTCATTAATGAGAATATACAAGCAAGGGGGGTACCCAGTGTTAACAAACACAATAACAGAAAAATACAGCTCTTCATAACACAGCCTTCTATTTTAATATTTGAGGCTCCCTGGGATACACAGCAAAGAGAACTGCTTACACTGGTGCTTGTATTGTACTGGTGCTCACCCCTGCACCACTTCTGTCATTAAGCCAGAAGAGCTGTTTGTGTACTTGTGCAGTGAACTGTTGTTCATGGCTCTGGCAGAAAAACAAGGCAACAAAACGAACAAAACAAAAAAATCCTTTCACCACTTAAACTTTCAGCCAGAGCAGTTCCCTGATGAGGTTCACTACTCCACTGTTCCAGAGGTACATTTGCACCTCCACAGGGGCATGTGAAATGAAGTGAGCGGCAATTGCTGAATCTCGCTCTGGGCCTGAACAAAGGTCCACCAAAGCACACCTTGGACACAGAGACCTGACCAGTTTCAAAGTAATATAAGCAAAAATTGTGGGTTGTGTTTTTACTGCAAACTAGTCTGAACGTACTGTATCAAAACTTCAACTCCCCTTCAACTCCTCTTTGTCAGCTAAAATAATTTTATAGCATTCTTTTTTGCAGACCTGGAGTTAAACAGTTCCCTATTACTTCTTGATTTAGGCACACAGAGACTGATCACACACACAAAGAAATTTTGCAGAGATCTATCAGCATTACCTGAAAGAGATGATGTCGAAGTAACGGGTGTGTAGCCTTGCCATGAACATGGCTAAATCATTGGCCTCCGACCCACTGTTGGTCAGGTAAACCACCTGTGGGAGACAGCACACAACCCTGTTGGGCATCAGACCATGTCACTTTGTAACATGATGAGCTAAAACCTATCACTGCCACAGGGGGCGACTTCACCACCATAAACTTGTTGCCCTTACAGTATAGATGAGAAGTAAGATCAAACTGATGTGCTCAGAAAGAGTACAGAAAAATCTGAGAGAGTTTCAGTATACGGATTTTCCTAAGACAGAATACTGGTGGGTTTCACTTTATAGGTTTTCCTAAAATGGAATACTGAGGGAAAGAAACTAATGCCTTTGGTCCAACTGAACATGACGATTTTATTTTACTTTTTTTTACCCTCCTTCAATCTTTAAAACTGCAATAGCTTCATACTCTTTTGCTAGTCCAGTTTCATTTTGTCACCAGTTTATTTTACCTGAAAACAAAAATTATTTTTCTTACTGTTTCTCTGCATATGAAATGTGACATTTTTGTGGTTTATTTATTTAAATGTCAGTAAAGCTCACTACGTAAAATACTGTAAAATACTTTTCACTGTGACTTTTCATGAGATCAAGCAAATAAGGCTGGCTGCATATAAGAATAGTTAAAATCTTCTTAGTTTTTTCTGTAATTTTTGAGCTGGCAATGCCTCTTCATAATGATGAATGGAGGGAGAAAACAAACAGAATGGGAGCTTGGGATATTATGCTTGTCTACATTTAGGTCTAAAGAAAAGGCCGTGAGGGTCATCATGCTCTTTATCTGGGAGTCTGTAGTCCCCATAAAGGTTTTCTCTCTACAATTATCATGGTTCTTATTTATTTAAGAAATATTTCACATAAACAGACACCCTCTTCACCAGCCCCTGCTCCTGTCAGAAGCAAAGTACCTTCAGTGGATCTGGAAGAAGGGAAGTCAGCTTTTCAGCATACTCGTGGATTGATGGGTGCATGTAGATATTAGTGGTGTGCCACAGGCGAGCAAGCTGTTTCTGGGTAGCCATAGTTACCTTCCTGCATGCAGCACAAGACAAAGGAATTCAATTCCTCACACATTCCACACTCATACATGCACACACCTATGTGTTATTAATTCTGCAAATGCTGCACCATTTGCCAGGTGGATGCACAAGCAGACCAAATTAATGAATTCTTCAAAACATAGCAGAAGTCAAAACTTAATGTAAGTGATACATGAAATTCAGTAAATTATGTTCTGGTTTTAGGCTCACAGATTAATGAGGAACAAAACCTACATGGGTATCTCTTCCTGTATTTTCTACCATAAATCAAAATGCAACATACTTACGGGTGACAGTGACCAACACTGACAGTGACAATTCCAGCAAAAAGATCAAGATATCTTCGTCCTTCATAATCAAACAACCATTGCATATGCCCTTGATGCAGCAACAATGGCTTCTTGTAATACATTCTCAGTGAAGGAGCAATATTTTGTTCACGAATCTTCTGCATACGTTCATACGGATAGGACTGAGTGGAATAGAAAAGTCAGTACCTGCTCATGCTTTCTAAAGATCCAGACTAATGGAATTGTAATGGAACACACAGATTACAGCTCTCTAGAGCTGTTGTTCACAGAACTAAGATTTTAACAAATTCTGGCACACAGAAGGTTCTACAAACCTCTGAAACTCAGCTTTGGAAGGAAGACTGGTGTTCTGCGTATTCCTTACAGGTTTTCAAATGAACAATGTAGAATTACAGATTTGTCACACAGGTACATCTACAGGTTACAAACAGGTTATATCCTGGTTGTAACAGTTCAGCTTTACTCAAAGAAGCAAATTTTATAATCATATTTAATGCACTGACTATTTATAGCAGATGAGCCTATCACTCAAACCCAGTAATGGGCTTTTATTTAAATTTAGTGCAGTATGCATGACTTACTTTGTATTTTTCAGGTACAAAATCACAAGGAGGCATTTTTGCACGTGTGGAGACAGAGCTTTTCCATTTCTGCTGCCTGAAGGCAACTACAAAATAGTAAGAGAATTATCAAACATTTAGCAAAGTGCACATCTGAAAGAGTTTCTCAATGAGCTTGTTCAGAGAACACACAGACTACAGCAAAAGCAAGTTTTGGAGGGTTTTTTTGTCCAAGAAACTTTCTTTGGGGAAAAATAAGTAGCATCTTTGTAAGGGCAAAATATATGTAAATTTAAAAAAAATATAATTTTTTCCTAATCCACTAAAATTCAGTTTTCAGTTTCACATGGACTTTTACTTTGACAGAAAAAAACTTTAAAAAATGTTTCTAATACAAATTCTTATCTGGAAGCATAAGAGAGAACAAGCATTCTCTGCAAGGACATGAGGCAGGAGCCCAGGGTGGCTGCAGCAGAGGCAGTGCCCTCAGGGAGCAGGGCACAGGCCCAACAGATCTGAACAAGGTTAGCAAATCAGAGTTCACTGAGAACGCCCCACATAAGTGGAAATTAATTAGGTCCAGAGTCCACCCAGGGCACTCAGTCAGGAGCAGCAGCAGATGAGGCCAGAGACAGGGGTGGTGACAAGGCTACACCCTAAGTTCAAGGTCCATCTGGGAGGCAGCGACAAGAGCTGGACTGGTGGCAAGGCAAGGCTCATGGCACAGCTGAAGCAGGGGTCTGAAAGTGCAGAGCTGAGTTGAAACAGGGCTCCTGGGCAGTGAATACAGGCAGAGGCCCTGAGTGAGGCTGATCAGGGCAGCCCAGGCATGCTTAGAGCTCTGTCAACTCCCACTGCCATCTTCCATTTTCTCTCCAGAATCCTGGGAGCATCACACTGTCCTGCCTCTCATTTAACTGCAAGTGCAATTTAGCAAGTATCACAAAGAGATACCTGATTGCCCAGAGGGGTTCTGGAGTCTCACTCACCAGGGATATTTAAGAACTGTCTCAAGAACCAGTGCAATCCTGTGCCTTGTGCTCAGGGACGACCCTGCTTGAGCAGGGATGTTGGACCAGGTGACCCACTGTGATCCCTTGCAATCTGACCCATTCTGTGATTATGTGATTCTGTGAAGAGTTATTTAAAAACAGTCTCTTTCTGCACCTCGAACAATATCTGCTCAGAGCTACACATTTGCTTCTAAAAGCCTAAGGTTTTAAAAAATTTAGATGTAACGACTAAAGAATAAAATTTCCTGAAATAAATTACATACACTGTCAATCCTCTTACCACCACTTAGAGCGCTAATGAATTAATCATCAGCAAGAGTTCAATCTCAAAAAATTAATTGAGATCCTACCAGTTAGGGAAGTTCTGCCCTTGGAATTCTTGGAAGGGATCTGCAGCTACACCGAAGCGGCTTCCCCCCGCCCGCCTCCACGTCCAGGCAGGGTGTCTGTACCACCGAACGCAAACCCGCTCGGAGCGGGGTCCCGGATCGCGAACAGACCCGCCGCATCGCGCCCCCAACGCGACCCCTCGGCCCCCCAAGGCCCCGCTTAGGGAGGGCTCGGGCAGCCGTGTCCCCCCGTCCCGCCCAGCCGGTCCCTCACCGCTGCCCAGCGTCCCCGGCCGCCGCGCCATGTCCGCCCTCAGCGGGCCGCGGCACCGCCCCCACACGTGCCCGGGAGCGCCGCGGAGGCACCGAGCTGGGCCCCGGTGTCATCCTGTGCTGTGCCCCGCTGTCACCCTGTGCTGTGCCCTGGTGTCATCCCATGCTGTCCTCTGGTGTCATCCCGTGCTGTGCCCTGGTGTCATCCCGTGCTGTGCCCTGGTGTCATCCTGTGCTGTCTCCCTGGTGTCACCCTGTACTGTCCTCTAGTGTCATCCTGTGCTCTCCCTCTGGTGTCATTCCATGCTGTATCACTGGTGGCATCCCATGCTGTCCCCCTGGTGTGATTGCATGTTGTGCCTCCTGTGTCATCCTGTGCTCTCCCATCATCCTAAGCTGTTTTCTGGCATGCAACTCTGACTTTTGGTTGAAGCCTGACCCCTTCAGAGGGACCTCAATAGATTGGAGAGATGGGCAGAGAGGAACAGTTTGAAGTTCGACGAGAGCAAATTCTGGATCCTGAATCTGAGGAGGAATAACCCCGAGCAACACACAGGCTGGGGACCAACCTCCTGGAAAGCAGCTCTATGGAGGAGCTGTGGGTCCTGGTGGACAACAAGGTGTCCCTGAGCCAGCAGCATGCCCTTGTGGCCAAGAAAGCCAATGGAATCCTGGAGTGCATTAGGAAGAGCATTGCCAACTGGTCAAGGGAGATGATCCTGTCCCTGTGCTCAGCCCTGGAGAGGCCACATCTGGAGTGCTGTGTCCAGTTCTGGGCTTCTCAGTACAAGGGAGACATAGAGGTCCTGCAGCAGGTCCTGCAAAGAGCTACAAAGATCATTAAGGGACTGAAGCATCTCTCTTGTGAAGAAAGGCTGAGGGAACTGGGACTGTTTAGCCTCAAGAAGAGACAACTGAGACAACCTACCTCATCAATATCTATAAGTATCTAAAGGGAGGGTGTCAGGAGGACAGAGCCAGGCTCTGATCAGTGATGCCAACAGATAGAAAAAGAGGCAGTGGGCAGAAACTGATGCACAGAAAGTTCCCCCTGAATATGAGGAAGAACTTCTTTACTGTGTGGGTAACTGTGTGCTGGAACAGGCTGCCCAGAGGGAAGACTCTGGGAGTCTCCCACACTGGCGATATTCAAGGACCATCTGGACACAATCCTGTGCAATGTGCTCTAGGATAGCCCAGCATGAGCAGGGAGGTGGGACCAGGTGATCTACTGTGGTCCCTTCCAACCTGACCCATTCTGTGATCCTGTTATGTCAAATACAGCCAGGTGGATGAGGAGAAATTGAGAGACATTGTGAGATGGTCACTGCTGACCCATTTCTTATTTTTTTTGGTTCTGCTTCATGGGCAAAGAGATCTAACACAATCTCCTACAAGGACGGAAGAAATGGGAAGCTCTACTGCCTTCCTTCATTACCTTCCAGTAATGGAGGTGGTTTAATCCCAACCATCAACCCAACCCTACACAGCCACTCGCTTCCCTACCAGTGGGACTGGAGAGAGAATTGGAAGAGTAAAAGCTAGAAAACTCATGGGTTGAGATAAAGACGGTTTAATAGGGAAAGGAAAGACCACAGACACAAGGAAAGCAAACCAAGGAATTGATTCACTGCTTCCCATGGGCAGGCACGTATTCAGCCATCTTCAGGAGAGCAAGGCCCCATCACACATAATGGTTACTTGGGAAGACAAATTCCTTCACTCCGAATGTTCCCTCTTTACTCAGTATTTTATATACTGAGCATGATATCATATGGTATGGAATATCCCTTTTGTCAGTTGGAATCACCTGTCCCAGCTGTGTCTCCTCCCAGCCTCCCATGCACCCCCAACTTCCTTGCCAGTATGGCAGTACAAAAAGCAGAAGAGGCCTTGGATCTGTGTAAGCCCAGCTTAACAATAACAAAAGCCTCATACCAGGCAGTCTGAAGAAAATTAACTCTGCCCCAGCCAAAAGCAGCACATCTTTGTAATACTAGAAGAACTAAGGCTCAACAATGGGTTTCCTAGAATGGCAATTGGCATACACTGTAACTAGACACAGTTGACAATGAGAGGTATTTCACAGGTTTTGGTGACCCTGGCTGCTCCTAAAGCAGAAGGCTGAAGACACCTACCCTCGAGGGCAGCCCCAGTTCTGCAGGAAAACTGCCTGATGTTGTTGCAATGCATCAGAGATTTGTACCTTTTACTAACCAGGGCAGTGCTTACATACCTTAGGATGCCTGAATGCTCAGCCCTTCCCAATCAAATTTTACTTTCACTAACTTGAAATCCCTTAACTTCGGTGATAATTTTCATGAATACAAGACTCATAAAGAAGCATAAAAATTGTGACCTGGTGGGTGACCCACCTGTGTTAAGGGGTTCAGTTGCTGAGTGCCAGCAAAGTAGGTTAAACACATCTGTCAGCAGGATCCCATCCTACAGACTATGTTGGACATCTGGCTTTTCCTTTTTCTTTCTGTGTATTATATACTGGAATTGTTACATATCGTGATGAAAGGTAGAATCTGTGAAATTTATTCAAGAATTTTTATTAAATTGAAATGCAAACACCATTGCAAAGATCTTACAATGACAAAAGATTGAAAATTCCATCAGAAAGCTACAGACTTCAGAACAATATTGATCTTACAAGTGAAAACACTAACAGATTTTAATAAAGCCAGCATTTTCAATATTACAAACTTAAAAAATGCATTTAAAGCATTTTCCTTCAGATTCACTTAGAAACAATGAAGAATTCCTGAGCAACTATTTTTATACCAGTATTCTCCAACCAATGTACATATTACATATGAAATCTAATTCTTACAATTTCTTATATTTTAGAAATTTCCAAAAAATTTGGATTTGGTTCACAGAATAATTGTGCTTAAAGTCATTCTGTTGCTACTGGGACAACACTGATGTTCCAGATTGCATACAAATTCTGAAATTTTAGTGGGAAAATGCCTAGCTTGTATTGCAAGGCTACCAATGAAATGATTATGCAAATGGAAACACATTGGCTTTAAATATTGGATCATCTCTTTCACCTCTGAAAATACACTGTTTATTCTGTGTATTATTCAGAAGATGCAATTTATGTTTCTTTGAGAGACTGCTGGCACAATTAAAGGCAAGGAAGTTCCAGAAACTTTTCCCTTCACTTAACAGGGTGGCAAAAATTTGAAAAAATATGATTAGTTAATGAGTGCTAACATATTTTTTCTGGGCTGTACTTTTTCATACCAGTGCCCTCAGTATTGCTATATTTTACACAATGACTATAAAGTATACAAAGCACAATATAAACATTTCAGAAGTCGAGATAATGCTGAGTATGTCTGAGCAATATAATGCATATATGGAACTGATGGTTGTGTTATTTCAGATGGTGAATGGTATTGGTAGTCAGAATTAAAAAAATTACTTACCAAGATGAAAAATAAACACTAAAGCTCTTTCTGATTATACTGAGCAGTAGTTTCCTCTTCCTTTTGGAATGAAGATGAGAATTAAGAGTAGTCTACAGTATTATGAATTTTATAAAATATGATCTGACATCATTATATTTCTGCCTGTAGAAAAATATGCCTCTTCCCAGACATGTATAGTTTTTCATCCTCTTGAAGGAGTATTTTCTACAAGTGACTTGTACAAAGATTTCCAGCATCCTGTAAAAATTCCACTCAGTGCTATGTCTCTAAAACTGACCATTGCAGGAACTGAAGTGAAATCTTTCAATTTTTACTGATGTCAAAATGAGGTGAAAGTACTCAACAGCTCATAAAAATAGACCCAAAAGCAGCATTATCCAAAAAAAAGTTAAATAAAGACAAGATACAAGACAAGCAGCATCTCAAAGTAGAAAAAGACATTAAACCTTCAAAAAATAAAAGAGGAATATATAAAAAAGGACTTTCTCATATCTAACTGCTCTATACACCAATATCTTGAGTATAAGATCAGCTTTTAGCATATCAGCACTGTAAGAGGCCACACAACTAATTTGAGTATTTTTCATTACTTTCAACAGATATAATAGTGTCTCTTAAAAGCTTAACTTAAATTGAAGATATGTATTTTAAGCCTCTCTTGGTAATTTTCTAAAATTTTCCAGATTTATTACCAAGACGGACTTTCTGATTGAGGAAAATATTAAGAGATACATTGTCCCAGGTACAAACTGAAACAATGCCCAGAAATGCCAAGAGACTCTTTTAATATCCCCAAAATATTTTTTCCCTTGGAGCTTCTAGGTCATTGCATTAACTTTAATAAATAAAAACAGAAGAATGTTTAAGAATGGTAGGCATATGTGTGGGACAAAGTAAATGGATAAATACACCTAATCTGTTTATCTGTCCGAAAAATTGAAGGTTGCTTTTGAAAGCAGTGTGGTACACTTTATTCCTCTGGAGCTTTTTTCCTTAGGAATGTAGGAAGTGCAATAGCACTCAGATGCAGAGTCTAGCTCTTCAAGTACTGTGTTTGCCTGGGACCAAT